CGGTACGGGTGCTAGCAGCCGATATGATCCAGAAATCAAAACCACCTAAATCTAACGTCTCAAAAGAGGAAAGGAAGGCAATCAAAGAACTTCAGCAAATGGACGACATCGTCATCCTGCCGGCGGACAAGGGAAATGTGACCGTAGTGATGGACAGGGAAGAATATCAAGAAAAAGTGGACCAGATGTTGCAAGATCAGGGCACGTACAAAAAGATTTCTAGAGATCCATCGAATAAGGCAGAAAAAGAAGTACGGGAAAACATCAAAACACAGCAAGCAAACATTAAAGTAAATTTGTCCAATACGAGGCTGTCGAGATTTGTGGGATACCCGAAAATACACAAGGAGGGCGTGCCCCTACGCCCAGTCATCGATTCGAGAGATTCAGCGACCTACGACTTAGCGAAACGACTAACAAAAACGATTCACCCCATCGTAGGACAAACAGAATCCTACGTAAAGAATTCAAGCCACCTAGTGGAGATGCTGAAGAAGACGAAGGTCGAAAACAATGACTTGTTAGTAAGCTTTGACGTAAAGTCACTGTTTACTAACCCGCGCCCCGTTGGGCTCTGCCGAGCAACGCGCCCGGTTGGGGGGGGGGCCATTTTGGCCCCCCCCCTAAGATCTCGAGAACCACGCAACATAGCGACAAGCGGTAAACGGCGTTGGATAGCCCCAACGGGGAACTACCTTGTGACCCAATTTTATTGACCTAGGTCAAACCGATGACGTCACAGGTCAGGTCAAAGGTCCAATTTTCACCGTTTACAGGCACTTCAAGAAATGCGTTGTAAAATCGAGTGAAATGCATTTCATTGAAAATCATCGATGGGGAAATGTTCTTCAAACACATATTTTGCTATTTGAGGTCGCTGATACCAGGTCAGGTCACAGAGGTCAGGTCACGGGGGGGTCACAATATGAAAGTGTCTTGTGATACATGTTTTATGGTCCATTTTACATGACAAATGCGATTATATGGGTCAGGCAGCCTTTGGGGCCAGCTTAGATCACGTTTTGGTCAAGGTCAGGTCAAGGTCAGGTCAAGGTCAGGTCAAATTAGGTCAAATTTCAAAGTTAATATTTTTGCATAAAATGGGTATCGAATCGATGCAGCTCGTCACGGGGAGTTCAATGGTGGTCTTTGTTTTGCCGTACGTGGTCTAGAATTGCTAAAAATTGAGTTCAAAAATTTGACGTCATCATTTTTGAACAGTTTTTTCGCTATAACTTGGCCAAAAAACGAGATATTGATTTGAAATTTGGTATGTATATAGAAGAGCGCTGGGACTATCACATATATTCCGGTTTTTTCGAAATTCGGAAAAATTTTGGATTTTTTCAAAGTTTTTCTAAAAAAATCAATTTTTTGAATTTTTTTTTGGTCAAAAACCAAAAATTTTGAAAATCCGAGATAGCAGTTTTGTAGCGCCGCTTTTTGTCTACTAGACCATATAAAGAACTTTGAAATTGCTTGATAACTGTAGATTTGGTGCGCGTTTCAAGATTGCATGTTTTTTGCTCATTTTTGCTCGAACATGACCTCAGTTTGACCTCAATAACTCCTGACCTAAGGTGACCTAAGACTTGAAATTTGGTGTGAAGGTGTCAAATTGATGCCCGGGAAGGTACTGAAAATTTGGCGGCGCTGCGCGCCGCCGTTTTCTTGCTATTCAGGAAAAACCACAGGGGGGGGCCAAAATGGCCCCCCCCCCCCAACGGGGCGAGGGCTAACGTTCCGGTCGAAGACGCGTGCCAAATTCTGAAAGCAAAATTAGAAGCAGATGAAGACCTAGTAAATCGCAGTGAACTGACACCACAGCAAATTGCAGAGCTGACAAGAACTTGCCTAAAAACTACGTTTTTCAAACAGAACGGACAATTCTTCCAGCAGACCGAAGGGGCAAGTATGGGGTCACCCTTGTCACCGGTAATAGCGAACTTATATATGGAGACATTTGAAGAGAGAGCGCTTGAAACATCAGAACTCAAACCCAAAAAGTGGGTCAGATACGTCGACGACATTCTAGTGATTTGGCAACACGGCGAAGACACTCTATACGGTTTTTTGGATCACCTCAACACACAAAATGACGCAATCAAGTTCACCATGGAAAAAGAGGAAGATCGCGAGCTGGCCTTCCTGGACGTCAAAATCAGAAGAGAGACAAACGGATTCAGCTTCAAGATATACAGAAAAGATACACATTCCGATCTATATCTCCAGTGGGACTCAAATCACACACAAGCCTCGAAGATGGCAGTCGTGAGGTCACTAGTCGACCGGGCTTTCAAGATTTGTTCACCAGAACATCTAGAAGACGAGCTTCTGTACATACTTCGAGCCTTAAAAAGAAATGGCTTCCCAGCGAAGACGATACACAAATACATAGCACGGAAACGAAGAACACCAGAGCCGAAACCACAAACGACAGAAAACGGAGAGAACGAACAAACGACGGATCACAGAACGACACGAAACGACAGGAAACCTCGAGCAGTCCTACCATACTGCGAGGGACTAACTCACAACCTGAAGCGCCTCCTGGAAAAGAACAACATTGAATGTGCCATTTCTTCAAGAAGCCAAACACTTAGGAGCAAATTATCAACAGTCAAAGACAAACATCTACCGGAAGAGAAGCCCTGTGTATACGAAATCCCCTGTCACTGCGGCAAAATCTACATCGGACAAACACGACGGAAGCTGCAAACAAGAATAAAAGAACATCAAAGAGACGTCAAAAACTGCAATCACAACGGAAGCGCCTTCGTAGATCACCTTTTTGAACCAGGAGAACACGCACCGCTTTGGAACAAAACGACAGTCCTCGAAAACGAAAACAATCTAACGAAACGACTCACGAAAGAAGCGCTACAAATACACGTCAAGAAAAACGACACGATCAACCGAGTAGACGGCACCGCATTCAGTCCTTTATGGGATCAGTGCTGGTAGGGCAACGAGATCCGACGATCAAGCAATCAAAGATTTTAAGCATGTATTTTTAATGTGTCACAGCCTGTTTGTGTGTCTCATGTACTGCATTCATTCATTCATTCATTCTTTCATTCATTCATTCATTCATTCATTCATTCATTCATTCTTTCCTTCAGTCAGTCCGTCAGTCCGTCAGTTAGCCATTCATTCATTCGTTCATCTATTCATACACTTTTTTCCTCATTAATTTTGGGTACAGAGTTTCAGGTCAGAAATAGCTGGAGGGATTACTTGCACGTTTTTAGATATGATGACCGTACTATTTTTCAAACGTGTTCATGATGCATGTTATCGTCATTGTTATATGTTTCTTGACAACGACCTCGATGCGAAGGTCGAAAATTCGAAACGAAAACAATAAACGACTAGTAGCCGAAAAACGTTCCTACCTTGAAACTGTCAGAGCCCGGTGATCATCGGACACGTGAGGTTTCACACGTGGTGACAGGGGCGTGTCCAGGCCGGACAGCAGGAGGGGTAAAGAGAGGCACTTTTGTAATTTAACAGTAGTTCACCTACTATTTTGCAGCTTTACTTTGATTGCTTTTGCTATTTTTTTTTATTTCTTAGCTAAAGTCACCACAAAGATCTCTAAAATAAGGTCCAATATTCATGTACGCAGGAGTTTATGCATCTTACCTAACTCCCCCTACCACCTTCCCTGGCTCCGCCCCTGTGTCAACCGCAGATGCCCCTCCCCTCCCACCAGCGCGATAGAGCGGTCTCGGTCGAGTGGGTCCGATCCGATAGTGACCGCCAGACCACCGATATCGGTCCGTACCGACACGACGGTCACCGCAGACTCTCGATGGTCGAATGTACTGAGACTATCGGCCAGCCAGGGAGATCAGAGTAGAATGATATCAGTGGTTTTTACAGGTCGATAGCCCTGGCAGTGTGTGGGTGGGAATTTGGTAGATATGGAGACAATGAGGGAATCTTATCGCTTGATGCGACAGATGACTCGACAAAGTGCGAGTTAGTTCACCATAAATCACTCGTGGGCCTTCCACGGCCGGTAGTTCGTGCGAACCCCACACTCACCTCACATCACGAAACTTTATGCCTAGACATCCCTTGTAATTTCATATCCTAACACAAGCGCTCCGTCCGGGACATTTGTCGATCTTCTTCAAAACCTAGCAACGCCTAGCAGCGCTCTGTGGCGGTCTGCCTAACTTTCCTTCTCGTAACCGTCTTCTCCTTCTGTGTGGTGCAATTTAGTGCACAATTAACCCTGAACCTCCTATCCCGTGTCAGTCTGGTAATAACCCATCATCTTGCTCCCCTCTCTGGGGAGGGGGGAGGGTGGACGCGCACCGACGCCGTCAAGCTGTGCGTGCAATCGACCTTGACCCCGGGTCAGCTGACGTGTGAGGCTGCTGCAGCACGGGGCGGCAGAGGGAACGGAGGGAGTTGGCAGAGTATTGGCGCCTGGGAGAGGAAGCTGGATGTCATAGAGGAGATTTTTAGCATCCGTTTGGTCTTAAACAGGAATGAAATCACATTTGTTCATCGCTAGTCTTACAACAATATTATCACACGTTGGTGAAGATCGCAAAGCAGTTGATGCACGATTCGTTATTCGTTATTCGTGTGCCGTTATCATTCAAAAGCATAAAAACTCACTAAAACTCGCTTTGCTTGACTTGGAAATTTGGAATGTCCCAGCTCCTCCAATCAAATATACCTGAAACTAACCAAATATTTCTCGATCGATATGACCCTCCAAACGCCTCGTTCGACAAATACCTCCTACCGTTCAAATATGTGTGCCCTCCTGCCCTCAGCGGCGCAGTATAAGTGCCCCCTTATCTTTGATCAGCTGATCGTGTTCGCGGGATCGGTCCGATCATCGTGGCGAGGTCGTAATGATAAGATAGCGATCTTAGATGTCACGTGACGGGCTGGGGGAGCTGCCGATGATGGCGATCAGACAGAGGGGCAGAGTGGCGCGGTGTGAGAGCTGCTGTGGAGAGTGAGAGCGGTGGGAGTGAGAGACAGAGGCGGAGAACCAGTAGTGACGACCGAGCTGAGGAGTTGAGGAAGTTCTTGACCAGGTGGCCAATCATCTCATCTGATTGAACTCAGGAAGTTCCTGGCTACATCAGCGACCGGTTACTCATCCCACAGACTGCGGTTGATAGAAGAAGTCCGGTAACTGGCCCGTAACCATTCGGTAGCCAGGTAACCGTTCGGTAGCCGTTCGGTTATCACTCGGTAGCCAACCTGGTAGCCGTTCGGTAACCGTTTGGTAGCCAGGTAACCGGTCCGTAACCGTTCGGTAACCACCTGGTATCCGTTCGGTATCCGTTCGGTAGCCGTTCAGTAGCCAGATAACCATTCGGGTAGCCGTTCGGTAACCATTCGGTAACCATTCGGTAGCCGTTCGGTAACCATTCGGTAGCCAGGTAACCGTTCGGTAACCATTCGGTAGCCGTTCGGTAGCCAGCTAACCGTTCGGTAGTCGTTCGGTAACCATTCGGTAGCCACCTGGTATCCGTTCGGTAACCGTTCGGTAACCATTCGGTATCCGTTCGGTAGCCCGGGAAGAGATCGTGACGCTCAGGGCCGCTCTAATTGTCCCGCCGAGGGCCGGGCGGGGCTGCTCCGAAGCGTCTGGTAGGTACCGCGGAAGGACACACCTGGACACACGGAAGGGCGGCAGTTAGACAGGTCGGGAGACGGAGACAACACTGCGCCGGAGACGCAGTGACATTAGGAGACAAGGAGACAGTGCATCGGTGAAGCGTGTGTAAAGCGTGACTGCGCGCGTGTGCGTGGAGGAGTGAGTGTGTGCGTGTGCCCTTGAAAATGAGAGACTGTGATTTGCAGTGTAACGTTCAGAGGCGTCTAGTGAAAAGCACTGCCGCTGAAGTTTCAAACTGAAGTGCGGCGCCGAGTTTCAGAAAAGTGCGCGAGTAAAAACTGCTGTAAAAAGCAATTTCCAGAGCTCAACCATTCGTCCCCTGGGACCTTTTGTGTGCTCGTTCTGGTATTCTCCAAAGTCTAATTGCCAGATACTTGATCTGGTTCCGGGCGATGAAAACACGGAACAACAAGATTATTCACAGAAACAGTAGCCTAATCTTTGTTTAGAGGCCCGCTAACCAGTCTACCGGATCCGGGAGCAGAAGCCACTGCATCGATTTGCGGAGAAGTTCCGAGAACACCTACGCCAGCGCTGGTGAGATAAGCTGACGGGAAAACGGCCCTCGTGATTCTGACGACGGATTCACTTCTCCAATCGCATGACGATTGAGCTGTCCATTGGTGATCGGCGGGTAGTGATCAGCTAGCTTCAGTGGACTGTCGGCGGTCAGTGGTCTCTGTGGTCAGCGGTCAGCGGTCTCAGCGGTCAGTGGTCAGCCAGCGCTCGTGGGTGGTCCCTCTCGGGTGCAGGACGCCTGTAAATATGGCGCCTCCCCGTCAGGCAGTCGCGCTCCCCTTCAATCCGCCGGCCGACACTCGACTGGCGTTCAATCCGCCGGGACAGAGTGTCTCGCTGGCCTTCAACCCACTGCTGAGAGGTGAGAGAGAGAGAGAGAGAGAGAGAGAGAGAGAGAGAGAGAGAGAGAGAGAGAGAGAGAGAGAGAGAGGGAGGGAGGGAGGGAGAGAGAGAGAGAGAGAGAGAGAGAGAGAGAGAGAGAGAGAGAGAGAGAGAGAGAGAGAGAGAGAGAGAGAGAGAGAGAGAGAGAGAGAGAGAGAGAGAGAAAGAGTGTAACGACTGACGCCACGGAAAGTGAGCTGGGTGGGATATAGATGTTATGTGTTTGATAACACGGCTCTGCAGCAGCAAGGACATATCGGAGTGTCCTAGCAAGGCCACATCGGAGTGGCCTTGCTACTTGGCTACCTTGACAAAGCGATACGACCATACCATGGGATTTGATGACAATCTTATCCTAACTTACACATATAAGTCAGGTTGCAATGGATACAATGCACTGATACGATTTCACAAAGAGTCACCCCTAATCCAAAGTCAAATGAGAATGAATATTGTCATGGTAAGAGAAGAAGTCGGTGCTCCTACGGCATTACCTTCAAACAGTCTGAAAGCTGAAACTAGCAATCTGCTCAGCCTCTTGAAAGTATCGATCATGCATAACAAACTGGATTGTCAACTGTATTAAACATATCATAGGTATCTTTTGTATTGGAACAATGCTTGTCTCGGAGGCAGTGAGATCAACCAAATACTCCTCTGGTGCGTCTGACTGGTATTTAGAGCCACCCACCCGGAGCACAGACACCGTTCAGGGATTACCGGCACACCTGTGTCGGCCAGCAGCTCAGCGCTCTAAATGTGGGCGGTCTAACCGCACACGGCGTGTCACCGGAAGCGGTGCAACCACAGGTGTTTCGGCCGGCGCGAGATCGCGATCGGGTGCGGCTGCGTTTCCGTCGAGATGATGGCATTTGAAGCTGCTCAGCTGTTTCCGACGGGTATTGAGAGTAAGCTGCTTCAGCATATTTGAACGCTAAAAAAAACGAGAAAAAATTACAGAATATCGAAACAGCTACAGATTTTAACTGTTACACATGGAAAAACTTTTTGCGGGAATACTTGTATACCAGTGTCTTCTAGAGAACAATCGAGAGGACCATCCTCAACAGAGTTTCTCGATTACACGTAAAATCCAATAGACAATCACAGCTGCGATACTAACCGCTCTATCGCTGTGACTTCCTTATCGTTCATGTGTGTCGCAATGTCGGTGCAGTACAGCTGACACACTCCTGAGCAGTACCTGATGTCTGTAGAACCCACTCATAGCGCCGATAAGCCCCGCAATGTCACCGTTCGGCCTCCATATGACGTCATCTGTGTCAGCCCTACCCGGCCGCTCGTTCTAACACGGTGTCTCGGCTGTTTCAGTTCTAACTCCGGCCATGGCTCCGAGACCCAACTCCGGTCTGGAGACTCATGAGGAGGAGATCATCGGCGACTCCCCGACCCTCGAGCCCTACCTACACCACACCAACGCGACAACAGGTCAGTGGGGACTGGGAGCTCTTATATCCCCATCACAATGCTTATACGACACTGAGCCATGCCATAACATTTTTTTGTTATTCAAAAATAAAATAGAAAGCACTGCTGATTTTTCACTTCTTCTCGGGCATTTACCAACTTTGTGATGAGCGTGCAGACACCCCGCTTTCATGAGGACTCTATTTTCATTTTAAAATGTTTGAGCATATTTGTAAAATGTATTTTTTAACTTTTCAATAAAAAACAGTATTTGCAGACGTCAGAAGAGTACATGTGCTCCTGTTTGATCAAGTCATATCCCTCTCTCCTCAGTCCTCTCCCCGCACACGATTTTCAACCAATCTCAGTCTTTTTTAGAATCTCACGAGGATTAGCATTAATTGGCTGTCGGAACAAGCATACATCCTAAAATCCACAACAGCTTAGTTATTCTAACAAATTATGCAAATAACGGTGTATGTAGAAGAAGATGTTCTACTGAATGACGCATGATTCACACAAAATATTACAGTTACGTGTCCTCACCCTCCAGACCGAGATTTGCTCTAGACAGTAAAGTCGGCCAGATCGCTGTTTTTGTGGTGTTTGTCAGCCGGAGGTCAGCCTCTCAAGAGCAGCCTTATCTCATATCCTTGTGTCAACAGCTATCTCTCATGTCAGGGATGACTCTCATTTTCCGTACTTGTTTTATCACAAAATGCACCATACATAGCTGTATCTCAGATGAAATGATGCTCTGGAAACTCTTACGGTTACCTACTTATGTCTTTTTTACTGGCTTCATTTGACCATTACTAAATCCTACCGCTCTAAATAGTTGAAAATGAATTATGATTATTGCTATATATCCATTTGAACAATTACTTCGACAAGCGCCACGCACATGCCTATGGATCTGCAGTTAGAATATAGGCATGCATCATCTTTCTAATGCTGACAGAGGGTTTCTTTTTATTTCAGAACCAGACGAACCGTGGCCAGGGGAGCTTGGAAAGGAGGAAGGTAAGAATATGTCTGCTCACCGTCAAAGACTTGCCCGCTATCCTTTCGTTGTGTATCCGGTTGATCATAATTGTGCTTCTAACGAAGTTCGGTTTTTAGAAGTTTTGTTTTGTGGCTGCCTATTGATAAGAATGTTATATTCAACTATCAGAAATGTGACTCGATTCAAAACGTCATTCGCTCTGCTTGATGCTACTTGACTTAGGGTCGGCCAATGTGGTCCCGTGTGACGCCATCCCACTCCGCCCCGCAGAGAGCCAGGAGAAGATCTCCATCATCGTCGGTATCGTGGTCGCCCTTCTGCTCGCCATCCTCATCGTCATCGTCTGCGCCGCCGTCATCAGGTAAGTGACGTCACAAGGGGTACACGCTTTCAACAGACTAGTGACGCCACAAAGGGTACATGCTTTCATCCGATTAGTGACATCACAAGGGGTACACGGCCAATATGGATGTAGCGGAGAAAGGCCGATAGACATACGCTTGCGACTTGCGTCTTTCATCAAACAAACATACAATATTGAAATACGCAATACGCATGTTAACAAATCATGCTCAGTGATTAAATACGAACGAGAAATGAACAATTTAAGGTTTCCAATATATTTGGGATTAAATATTGGTAAATTTGCTGATCCTTTTTCTTTATTCTGCCATCATAAATGACAAATCACTATTCATTAAAGTATTTTCGATGCGTTCCTTTTTTGGCTTGGTAACACCAGCACAGTCTGTTTGGCTCAACTACGACCCTGGGGACAAGGCTGAGTTGTTGGCGGCGAATGGATGAATCTGTACATTAACCTCTCAGAAAAGCCGGTAACACTTGTTGAACAACAGTCTTACTCAAATCTGGCGCATGCCTGCCATGACGTCCTCTGAAGCGACGTGTCCGTTATCTTCCTTGCTGGATGACAAAAGCGACACGTCTCGGGTGTTTTTAATAACGAAGCCGCCAAGTGCCGGCGTGAGCGGGCAGAGCAGGCCTTCACCCAATGACCCAGTTATGGCAGGGCACATGGGCAGACACCGGACAGAAGCAGTGCTTACTGCTGGCGTTACATAAACTGGGCAGAAATGCGACAAGGTTGAAGCATAAACGCTTTGTTTGAAACTCACGTCGCAAAAACTGCGCTTCTCCTTGTGATAAGTAATCTGGAAATATGCGACCTTAACACAAATACCCCTATTTACCTGGGTTGTTCCTCTTCCTATAAACCTAGCAAAGGTATAGTGCCGGCTGATTCTAATGCAGGCCTTGCCAACTGTCATTGACACTGGATACAAGCTATCTTCTTTTTTATTGCTAGGTTAGTTAGGTTAGTGGCGTCGATGAAACATTTGATTTGTCGATGAACCCTTTCAACATGCCAGAAACGATGTTTATAACGTGCGACGTCTGCTTATGCGTGACCCGTTGTGAAACTACACGCCTTATCATAACGTGATGAGACGTAACAGCTTTGACTGGAATCCCATCGCTCTTTGCAATGCCCCTTTGAACCACGCACTAAGCGGCACTACAAAAAACACGCGCTGCGCTGCGGTGCCTTTGCCGAAGTCCTTCTGTTGCTCAATGGATGCAAAAACGGCCGACCAGCCGGCCAGGGTGCCGGAGAGGGGCGATACAGGCTGCGCGTTTGATGACTGTTCTCAGAAGGAAGACAGTGGATAGTGGAATTGTATATTAGAGGCTGAGGAGGAAAGAAGAAAACTGGGAAGGGAATACGTAAGCTGTGTATGCCTATCAAGTATCAATGTTAAAGTTTATATAGAATGAAAGCTGTAAAAGGGCTTTTATCAGGTCTAATTTGATTGCAAACTTACGTGACATGTATATCATACTTCTTGATGCGCTTTGGTATAAGTTCCAGATTGAAAAACGTGAGACCACTGCCGCGAAACTAGCTGCAGGTCATGTGCCATCAACATCAAAACCTCATAAATCACAACGAACAGATATGCTATCATTTCACTAACAGTAAGTACTCGACCTCTGTTACTGAGGCGAGATAAGAAGGCACGCTATCAAAACCACGTGATCCTCGAATCGAAGATAGCTCACAAAAACACGTCTGCGGAGTACGTCAGGAACGTCAGAAACATTCGCTAGGTCATTTCCCCACGATATTGAAAAAGAAGCAAATTGCTTTAAATGACAGAAAACTGTGAGGCGTGGTGTATGTCGCCGTTACCAACTTGACCCTCAACCTTTTCTATTTATAAATTAGGGTCAAACACTCGCAGCTCATCAATCTTTGTTCAAAGGCAGGACCTTGGAAAACGATTCATGGGTGTTCATTCTCGTCATTTAAGGAGTTTTATAGACAAAGAATATCAGATTCCCTCAGTTACTTCCTTCTCTTTCTCTCTCTCTCTCTCTCTCTCTCTCTCTCTCTCTCTCTCTCTCTCTCTCTCTCTCTCTCTCTCTCTCTCTCTCTCTCTCTCTCTCTCATTCACTCCCTCTCTCCCCAGACCCACGACTTCCAGTTTCGCTGACCCTGGCGGTATTTTGGTACCTACCTTGACGGCACCAGTGCCCAGAGGCTTCACCAGTGTTTGGCCGGTGTTAGCCTCTCCCGAGGTAAGCCGGGCCCCGCGGCAAGGCTAGCCTTACCGTCTGCTTGTCCCCCTCTTTATCCCTCTTCTCTCCTTCCCTGTACACACCCGCCTTCCTGATTCACCGTATACCAATGCCGGCTTTGAAGAATGATTGAGACAATTTTGATTACATCTCGCTAACAAGTTCCGGATGAGCGGCTAACGTTTACCGTTAGCGGGGACATCCACGCTGAACCAGTTGTTGACAACTTTCAGAGTCCAAAACAGGTGGCACGATGGCCGAGAAGAAGGCCCTGACGAGTTGCCGACCGTTAGTCTTTGGGGTGCAGAGCAGGGTGGGCGCGATATAACGCCAGGTCGGCAGATGGGGGCGGGAGATACCGCGACTCGTCTCCGGTGATGAGAGATGACGAGATATGAAGGGGAGTTCGTGGTTCTGGGAGAAGTTATCGCTCATAGTCCCAGACATGATGCATGGCGGCGCCTGTGATGATAGTTGTCACACTTGTTTTTTGAACATGTAGATCCTAAAACTTGTTATTCTGGAGTTTTCAGTTTTGTGAACTGGGTGTGCTTATCTATGTTAGATTCCTAAAAGACACACATTTTGCATTTTTCGCGGATTATCTGTGAATGAGCTCGATGTGGTTGATAGCTTATAAAGTCTTTTGATAACCTCTAGCTAGACGGTGTACAACCCTTGTGTTGGAAATGTACTGCACAAGTGCACATGCACTACATTACAAAAAAAACTATTCCATCGTTTACTTTTTAAAAGGAATGATTTGTTCTTATTCGGAGCATTGGTGTGGCATAAAGCAAACGCTATTTACCTGTGGCAAGAGCACTACTGTTAATCCCACACCCCCTGTCGGCATCTCCCTCGCTCTACCGATCGCTCCTCCCACCCCTACTGACGTCATTCCCCTCTCCCTCCAGGAGGATGCGTCGGCGGCGTCTTCCTGCGTCTTCGGAGGACGGAAAGGGGATGAGGATGAAGCGCGTGCGGCGAGGAAAGGGAGTCGATGAAGACGAGGAGGATCTGCCCAGTCCCCTGGATGACCTTCACGATCCTTACGTACAGGTGAGAATCGATCTATGGGACACAGAGCGGGTCTGCGGGTCTGGGAGCCTGCAGAGAGCGTGCCACGAGATGGGAATATAAGGAATTAAATCTACTAAAACGCACCAGTCCTTCTCCTGCCGAGGCTAAGCCACAAAACTTCCGGGATCCTGATTATACTTCGGGAAGCTCTTGGGACTATCTGCTTTGGTTCAAGGGCACTTCTCTCGGGTTTTCATGAAAGAAGATGACCGGCGTTATCACGAAAAGAGAAGAAAAATAAACGAGCTACTGGCCTTGTTTACAAAAAAGCTTATTTCAAAATGATGCCCCTGTTGTTAACGTCATGCAAGCGTGATGGTCATATAGCATTTGATTTAGGCGCCAGCTCTCTTCTTTTTGGTAGCGAACAGGACCTTTTAGCTGTATTATCCGATTTCAAAGCCGATTATATCTAAGTGTCAACAACCTACCTACCAGTCTTCCTACATTATCATATACGAACGTGGCATGTCTAGTAATGTGACGCTAAAAATATATTTCTAGGTCGCTAAGGTCAGCTATTGGATATGTGCATTACATTAATACGCTTATTTATTTCAATCGGACTAAATCCAATGAGCCACTCTCGGGGAATAGGGTCCTCGTGATGGAACACACCACCTCATGAGCAGTGCTAAAGGTCTCCCCGGAGAAACGTGCTGCTATTAGAGCTACATTGCCCGTTGTCTGTTGGGGTAACCATTAGCCAGGACGGCATGGACAATCAGGGATTGATCCTGAGGGTGGGAAAGATTGCTGTTGTTCCCAATATCGATGTATATGTTTCCCCAGGTTTAGACGTCCTGCCGAGCCGGTGATCTGACCCGACCTCTCCTGTTTCAGTTTGTCTACATCCCGCCTAACCGGGGCCTGAAGCTGTGGAAGGGCCGGTTGAAGATCATGAAGCGTCACCTGAAGCGCTCGCTGCTGAAGAAACAGATCGAAATCCACGGCTGCACAATCCCCGAGCACTGTAGAGCGCAGCTCAAGAGGATATACGTCTATTGATTCCGGCGCCACCGAGCGGTGGCTATATGAACTATAACTGTGCGTGTTTCCGCGAGGTGTCGCTTGTGTCGCTCAGCCATGTTGGCGGCGGGACGTTCCGATGGTGTCGCCATCTACACTCGCTGAGCTGGTCTCGCGAGCTGAGAAGCTGGTCTTCTGAGATACCGTCCCCGGCCGAGCGGGTCTCGCCGGTACAAAAGTGGCGCAGCGGCGCGATGATGGCGCAGGGGACGATTTTGGTGATACTGTCTCTGTCCTGGACTGGCGGAGCAGGCCGTCAGCTGTGGTCCGAGTGCACGTGCACTCTATCCGCTGAACGTTGAGACCCAGCCAGTTGGCCGTCGTATGGATTGTGTCAGTGTTTGCAGTGCTGCAGTGGCCAATGTGTGAAAATTGTCAATGTGCTGGTAGCGTGAAAGTGACTGATGATGTACTTTGTCATGCTATTTTTTGATGTTTCAGTTTGTTTTGCTGAATAACGTGCATTATTTTATTGAATGCATGGGTGTCAAAGGCAGCTGAACGTAACTTGTATCGCTTGACTCACAATATGTAGCCTTCTGTTTGCACTCGATTCACAACGATAAGATATTTATTCTTCTCCCTATGTTCGTCATATCGTCAAACCTAACTCCCGCCTCCCAGATCATTCCTAACACTTGTAGATGTAACGAAAAGGCTTAGCCTTATTGCTGTGCCTTTGAGGTGCTGCTTCGTTCTTTGTGCTGTTTCGGGACGTTTGTAGTTGATTTTCGATGGACAAACGAACCTCAGCTTCTCCGTCACTGATCATTACCTTTAGCAGAAATGCCGGCAAAATTTATCGGTACTTCGACTTTTAAAATCATGCCTGCTACCCTATGTGCCAGAAGTGTATTTATTGTCGCTTATTTATATAAATAAGCAAGCTTTAACATCATAATGCCAAACCACTGTATGCGCTGCCCCTCGGGCCTTTAGTGCCTTTTTGTTCGATAATCGCTCGGTCTAATCCACTAACAACACTTAGCTAACTATATCAAATGATTTTGTTCTTCTAAAACACATGACATAACGTGTGTAATCATACAAATTTTAGTAACGGCGAACAAAATTGTATTGACGGCGTCTGAAACTCGCCTAATCGATTACGACTGTTTCTCCTTGCCACTCCTATGTCCCTATTTCTTGGTACCGATCCGCCTCGCCCTCAGCCTATACCGCTGGTGCCTGTAGTGTGTAAATGGAGCGTACCTGATTCGGTTGTGCATTCGATTCGGCTGGCTCTGGGCCAGCTGCGGCCCTGTTCGGCGTAGTCTGACGTCATCAGTGGGTGTCAGTCATCAGTCCCGGGTGACTGTAACTGCCAGACTGTGTTGACAGATGTGATGACCGCTCTTCTAACAAATTAACCTGAATTCAGTAATGGGGGACTATCCAATTTGGTCAATGAACGTCATTCTGCGGTGACGCCTGTCGTTTGCCAAAAAGTGTGCGTGACCTTGACCTTTGACCTGGCCCGGGTCGCAGAGGTCACCAGTCTGAGCCATGTCGTGAATGTGGTGTAGCATGTGTTCGCTGCCGTGTCACGAATGTATTGTCTGTGCTGTGTATCTGCAGTGAGATTCTTTCTACGTATAATGCGTAAATAGAGGATGTTGTTGTGTTATATGAACAACAATAAATGCGCCATAGATGTATAAAACAACAGACTTTGAAGTAATTCATTATAAAACAACCGAACATTATAATCGATATAATACCACTAAGGAACTCTACTATATAGTATGTACCAATCAAAAATAGTATCTAGGATAAACGTATGTACTCAAAGGTAATCATGCAACGACGGCCAAGAGTTGACAGAATGCTGTGAAACGGCGTGCCTAGATATTAGACCGAATTGGCAGATTTGTAGCAGATTTATGTTGTATTGCATCTGACACAGTTGGAAAACATGTGCAACACAAGCAGACATTGGTACATATAGCTTTTCATTTCTACTTTATCATGTAAATGTTATAAACATCAAACAACCTCTATACCACGCAATGAAGGAACAATAGCTAGAGAGATTATGACGAGTTTTCTACGTGCAAAACACCAAAAAATACGTAAAATAAATAAGTAAATAAATATCCTCAGGCAGTGTCTAAAAGAACTAATGCGATCTGCTTAGACTAATCCGCCTATGTACATTGCAGTACTACAAATAACCTTTACTGATGCCCATTTTCCATACTAAAGCATAAACAGAACAAGGGACATGCAAATGCATAACAACTATCCTAAACAAAATCAGATAGAAATATCAAACAAGCATTCAATTAGAGCATTAGGAGCAGCATCACATACATTTAGAGTACGTACGGTAGAATGTTAAAACTAATTAACAGCTTCCAAGATCGTAGCACGTAGAACGCCTTGAACGTTATTCCCGGGTTCGGTAAATTGGCGTTCTGTTGGCCCTTGGTCGAGTATTTTCCGGTACCCTCTGGTATAAAGAATGATAAAGTCAGAAATAGAGTCAAACTGTGAAATATGGGTTATCCGTCTTTGCGGCACCAGGCCACGATTCACCGTCTTACTGTTCGGCAAGAGTTCGGGCAAGTTAGGGAAAGTTTAGATCTCTGGATGAGCCAGAGTGATTGATAATGCCCTCATCATTTCAAAAAACTGCCTAAAACAAACCTGTCCTAAATCACTCCCCCACACTCCACAGTCACAACACTCAGTCTCCTACAGTCGCTGCTTGTCGCTCCTTCTTTATCGCCCTGTAAACCCTGCCCAGATGTCGCTCCAATCGCTCCAGGTGTCGCTGTGGTCTGCCACCCAGGTGTCGCTGTGGTCAGTCCAGGTGGCGCTGGTAGCGGGACGGCACCGATACCGTCGGTCCAGCGGGACCGTGTGGTCGGTCTAGGTGGCGCTGGGAGCGGGACCGTACCGCTGCAATGCCTCGCCCAACACCAAGGCTGCCTGGAAACGAAGACATCGCAAAGACAACATTAGAAGCGGAACAATCCAATGATATCCATGTCATGCGAAAATACGTGTTTATCCATAGGGTCGGTCACTCACTCACTGACAGTGAGTGAGTCGACAGACAGGTAACTAAGCACAAGTTCTACTTATTGTCACCTGACATTGTCATTACCCACTAGATACAGACAGAGAGGTCAACGTTTTTAGCTCCCCCCCCCCCACACACACACTACTGGTATTATCCCACTATTCACTATCCCGTGTTTCCCAGCCTGCGACGGCTGCCTACCTTCAGCACGGCCTCCAGCAGCTCCGGCCGTGTCTCCGGCGCCACCTCCCATGTCTCCGTGTCTCCGGCGTGTCTCGGTCTCCGCCCGCCGTGTCTCCGCTCTTTCTGTCCCAGATACCGGCTCTCCAGTTTCGCCACCAGTCGGGCGGGTCGAATTGGAAGAAAACCGTACTGCGCCACGGCGATAGCGGCCAATAGGAGCACAGCACCGACGGCCGGAGCATACTGCAATAACGGAGGGAACGGTGATAGAGTCAGAAAAATCAAGACAACTCTGGGAGAACACAAAGAATGAACAGCAAACGCCAAATGATATCGCGAAGGGAGTATTTTCCAGTCACAATACAAACTAACGTCTCAAAGCACCATTAGCTTATTGCATTTAGTGACACGGCTCCTGGAAGAAAAGTTATGTTATAGGGTGAATAGGTCAAAAACGCCCCCCTTAACCCGCGAGTTGCTGGGGGGGGGGGGCGTTAAACGCCCCCACTTTTTTCGCCGGGCTATAGCATAAAAACGGCGCGCCGCAGGCGCGCCAAATTTTGGTTACCTGTAGGAAATTGATTGAAGTGTATTGTGACAAAGTTTCAAAAAAATCGGTCGGAAAATTTTTGAGATATCCAAGTTTTAGTGACGTCATGATTTCAGAGTTTTCGACCAAAAACGGCATATGTTCAAAAAATGATATAAAATCACAGAATAGACATATAGACATGCCGTAAACGCCATTAGACTGCCAATACCATGAACAATCAAATGGCTATCTTCGATTATTGATTATCGATCCGAATTTTCCAAAATCTTGAACTGAATCTTGGCAATTTCTCGTGACTACTTCACGACCATGATACATACATTTCTTAAATTGAACTTTTTGAGCCAAACACGTACACATATGACAAAATTAATGTCACCATCGTGTTCTACGCCCCAAATTACCCATTAAACATGTGTCACAGGCTGCGAATATCAGTTTTGATTTTCGGGGATGTGTGCCTACCCGGTTGACCTGACCTTGACCCTGACCTATGCCTGACTGACCCCTACATGGAGCTGACACTCTTGTAGGCCTTATATGATGGATTGTGCACCGTTTTGACAGAGTTTATCACGAGAACCGCCCGTTGCGAAGTCCTGAAGTCCATGCTACTGAAAGCCCGATTTCAGGTATTTGACCTGACCTTGACCCGACCTGTGACCTCGAAATTCAACTTTAAAATACTCATCTGAAGCGTCTCGTCGCGTTCTTTCGTTTGCCGCCTCGTGCGTTTCGCTGCGCCTATTGGTTCTCGAGTTATCGGCTGGGGGCGTTTAACGCCCCCCCCCCCCAGCAAACGGTGGGTGGCGAAATACCCCAGCAACTGCCGGGTTAAGCGCGAAACCTTCTGACACTCAACCCAACACAGATTACTTAAACCTTTGGGCACCATCATGTAGCTCATTCTTTTTACTACGCTTTGAGACCAAGAAAAGACACCTGCGTGTGGTATTTAACCCCCCAAAAAGGTTTCCGCATACCCTGACAAAAGGGCGTTTTGCCCCATACCCTGGGTAATACGCCCACACCCATGTGCAAAGCGCCCCCACCCCATCCATCAACAGAAAATGATGAACATAGCAGAACTTGACGTCATTCTGACGTCCTTTGTGGTCAACCTATCATAGCCTTTGGAATAAAATTTTGTTGCAATGTGTAAAATGGATGCCCGGAGGAGTCCTGAAAGTTTGGTGACGATATCTGCAGTCGTTTAGGATATATCAGCAAAAAAGGACAGGGAGAGGCCTTTTCGGCCCCGACCTACAGGGCGCTACCCTGCACTCTCACCACCGTGCAAAACGTCCCCCTTTCAGAAAACTGGGGGCGTCTTGCCCCATGCATCGAGTAGGCGTCTTGCCCCATCCACTCCATTTCCGGTCAACAAAATATTGACAAAAAACGCGCCACTAACGCCGCAGCATAATACATTCAAAAGAATGACAATAAAACGCAGTTTTGAGTGATGTGCACAATAGCAAGTTTTGTGATATATAAAGAGGGCATCAAAATATTAGGAAACTTCTGTAAAAACAACAAAAACCACACCCAAAACCAACATCAGCACCTACCCACGCTGCTCCTCAAGACGCAGAACCGGAAATAGAGACCTACGTAAACAAGCAGCTGACTGTTCTGAAAGACAGGATAAAACACCTATCCGTCGATAAGAAATACGATTTTTTTAGGGGAGGCGTTTAACCCAGGGGTGCGTTTTCCCCACAGTTACCCTAATCAAACATAGAAAAATGGTACGCTCCTTAAGCTCCAAATTATGCAACATAGGCGCCCATGGTCAAAGGCCATGGGCTATACGAGAAGATAAAGAGTCAGAAAAATCAAGACAACTCTGGGAGAACACAAAGAATGAACAGCAAACGCCAAATGATATCGCGAAGGGAGTATTTTCCAGTCACAATACAAACTAACGTCTCAAAGCACCATTAGCTTATTGCATTTAGTGACACGGCTCCTGGAAGAAAAGTTATGTTATAATCAAACATAGAAAAATGGTACGCTCCTTTAGCTCCAAATTATGCAACATAGGCGCCCATGGCCAAAAGCCATGGGCTATACGAGAAGATAAGCATAACGACCTGCGTAGATCTTTATTGAAAGCTTGAAATGCAACGGCCGACGACTGGCGAATTACGATATATGACTCGAATGATAACGGCCGACGCTCAAACCGTGTCAAAATAGATATCGCTCCCTGTGAAATCCGTCTGAGTGAACGTGCGGTCATTAACCTCTACCAGGGCAGGGTGGTCGCAGTGTCGGTTATCGACAGTAGTCATCACGTTGAGGGGCACCGGAGCCTGGTCTCAATGCAGACCCCGCGTCAAGTCGCTGTCTACATGACCGATATCGACGGTCATAGCCTGTCATTGACGTGTTTGAGTGGAATTGGCATTGCTAATGGGTGTATGGAGCGAGAAATGCACTCAATGCAATGCAGCTATAGCTATTATTGGGATCAATTGCTGTGTTTATGTCAAATGAGGTCCCAGAATATAGACTCTATGCGTTTGAAAGTATACTCTGTTTTAGGTCACGGAAAATGCGAAACAAGGAGTGTGTAGACACCATTAACCAAGCATTGTTGAAATGCTGGCTATTTTTTCTTTTCAATAACAATATAAAAAGTTCCCAAGCACTGGTAAACTATCTATTATTAGTAAACTCACTATTAGCAATGTAGCAAAAAATTGGCTTATAAATTCACTACTATTCACGCACACCGGGTGAATAACCAGAACCAGAAGCTTTAATTACCCACATACATATGGTTAAATGATAAATGTGTTCAAAAACTGGTGATGAAATTAATGAAATTAAATTCCTAGCAGTGTCTTTACGACTCAAAAATGGTAATGCCCACTGTGTCAAACTAACTAACCGCAGTAAATTTCCACAACATCCGCACACCGGATCCGGTTAGAGTGACCCAGACGTCCCGCCGCCCTCAGCGCCGCGGCACCTGTCCCGGGCGGGTCACGAGGTCAATCCCGCCGACCTCCGCGCAGCGACACATGTCCCGGGAGGGCCCGAGGTCAATCCCACCGACCTCACCAACACAGCACATGTCCTGGCCGTGTCACGAGGTCAACAGCGGACCTCCATTAGGTGGCGGTCGGGTGGCATGTCGCCAGGCGTCGGGTGGCATGTCGCCAGGCAGTGTCGCCATTTGTTCCTGTCTGACACGACAGCGCTCCGTCGCAGACCGGCGACGAATGAATACCATGAATGGCAAGTGAGGACCATTGGCACAACTGAAACCTGAGGCGGACTTCGGGATGACAACAGGCGTTACAAAGGTCCATGGAGAGGAGTTAACAGTTGACAAGTTATTGTTTGGATATTGGAGGCGGGTTTCACTTCAGCGCTTTTTTGCGATGCACTTAGCGTACTTGATTTTATTTGCATTGGCTGGCTGATTTTGTGGTGTTTGTGGTAGAAGAAGTAAACTATTCTTTTTTCTACGACCTGATACAAAGCTCATGTATCAGAAAGCGAGGATAAGGTACATTTCAACAAGCCTGATTACCTTATAGTGAATTTCACGACCTTCTTGCGCAATATGTTGCGGGAATGAGATGAGAAATAAACGAGAGAGAGAGAGAGAGAGAGAGAGAGAGAGAGAGAGAGAGAGAGAGAGAGAGAGAGAGAGAGAGAGAGAGACAGACAGACAGACAGACAGACAGACAGACAGACAGACAGACAGACAGACAGACAGACAGACAGACAGACAGACAGACAGACAGACAGACAGACAGACAGACAGACAGACAGACAGACAGACAGACAGACAGACAGACAGACAAACAGACAGACAGACAGACAGACAGACAGAATGGCAGAGAAACGGGCAGACAGACAGAGGCAGAGACAGAGACAGAACCAGATTCAGAGAGGCAAAAAACTAGACAGAAACAGAGAAACAGTAACAACAGACAGAGAATAACACGAGAAGAAACTATTGCAATTGTTCGTAAATAACCCCTCGGGAAAAATAGCGGTACTCTGATGGCCACCCTCACCTTCCAGTCCTGTAACGCGGCGTTTGCCGTCAGAAACACAACCGGGAGCGAATTAAAGTTGAAAAGCTGTTCACTGACAGGTAGCAGAGCTAGCGCCGCCAGCAGCAGTGGTAGCAGACTGACTCTCATGATCAGCAGAGCGATGTTCCATTCAATCTTATAAACCACGGCAAAATAACTACAAAAGCACTTCAGCTCTAACCACACTGTGTGAATATTTTTTATTGTTGACGCGCTACACTGAGAATGTTGTGGCTGCCGATTTTTACAAGCTCCACCCGAAATTCGGACGTTCGTGATAAACTTCTAAGCCACCTCACTTTGTTAACTGTTCACTGTTCCGCGTCTGATGACCACACAGCACACCTCTCTCTCATGACCCGCGGCAGGGTACTGGTCGGCGGCTGGAATCAACAGCACTGCACAGGAGGCTCCGTGCTGGTCAGGGGGCCGATAATTCGGCCGATACGAGATGGCCCAGACTGCACTTGGACCGGTGCAGAGCGATGTATGACCGACACCAGCCGATACATATCCACAGCGGGATTATACGAGCCGGGTCTGAGATAGGAGGCTGGATCAGGGCTGATTGCAGAGCACAGAGTAGCGGTCTAACAAGACAACTTTTAACCCTCCCCACGCTGGGGGGG